TTTTTTTTTTTTTTTTTCGTGAATCAGATCAGATCAGTTGGATGAGAATCATTAGTATAGTAGGGTGGAGTCGCATTGAATATAATTATAAACAATTCATATAGACGTTTTGGACCAAACACAATACTGCTCAAACCATTTATTTAATGTCTAATCAGCAATAAGTACCAAACAGGTTCCATGTCGAAATGTCTGTGTTGGCGTTTTGACATGAAATGCCATTGCCTCTCTAGCGTTTGAGCCTGAAATGGCAATAATAACAAACATAACTTAACTGAATCAACCGGTTTGATGGCATAATCATTCGGGTTGATGGGTTCTTGTCTTTGACCTAATCAATGATTTTTTACGACCACAGTGGGTTATGGGTTGGACCAACCCATTATTGTGATTGGGTGACTCAGTGCATTGGATGGTTCAACGCACTAACGGCCTAGGTCAACGATGGGTTGAAAATACCGATCAATTTTTCCTTTTAGTGGAATTCAAATTCCTCCAGGAGTGAGGGCTAGTCATTTTTATTTTTGCAGAATTGAAATGGAAACAGAACTCGAACAACTTAGATCGATTTCTAATACACAGTCTTAAGGCCCATTTTTGGCATTCTCCTTATTAAATGAATTTATAATGAACTAGGTTGGGTTGAACCAATATCTATTCCATTGACATAAGATAAGACTGCAGGTGTCAATGGACCAATTTTGGGTTACACCCAACTTAAGCTAAAACCAATTTGATCAGTTTTGATGGTTCAGATGATTTGGACCAGTCTAAAATGGGCCAAAGTGTTCATCGGATTGAATTAGATCTGGTCCATCTGTAATGGATTCATAGTGAACTGAATCAAATTGGACCAATATCCAGTCCATTGATAGCTCTAATAATGTGTATCAAGGCTTTGGTGTCAAAGTGATCTCAATATTTTAAGAATCACTATTTTTTTTCCCTTTCGTGAGGGAGGGGGTGATGGAAGTCATTCTATTTTCTAATAAAATGTCATCATCATATCATCAAAGCCTTACCTCAACTATATGGCTTGGCAACATGAATTATATATATATATATATATAGCACTTAACATAACTGTAAATCATTATAATCAAGACTAACCAATTTGGACTCCAAACAGAGAAGATTATTTTTTAAAATTGGAAAATCTTTGATATGGGAAAGATATAGTATCTATTTAATAGTTTTGATCAATCAGAATTTATTCATGAATTTTGATAAATAACACCTGATGGGTTATTACGTTTATGATTCCAGTTGATTGGTAAGAGGTTTTTCGCATAACACATCTTTTTAATGTTACAGTCGATTCAAAGGTCAAACTTTGACTACTTTGGGTTATTGTCTTATTGAATGAGCATTAAACAAATGAAAGTTCTCGTTTGCCAAGCATGGAAAAGAGTCGATATCATTTTTTGTTAAATAATATAGATATTGTTAAATGTCACGAAGTTAAATTGTTCAGATTTATTTTGCCAAAATAAAAAATGATCATTTCATTATATGGCCTTTTCTATATGCATATACCCAATGTATTAAAAATTGATTCGGAGTCGGAACCGTTTTGGTCACTGGTATGGCCATTGTCTGGATCGAAGACGACAGACTAAATCAACGGTTTTTGGCAAAATTGGGTTAAGGGTGAAACGGAACTGGTTGCCTGGACAATTTCCAGGCCAAACGACCCGACCATTTGGGTCAATAACAGCTCGAAAACTATGTATATATGTATACAAAATGAAATGGCAAGACAGAACTCTTTGTAGCTGTTCCCATATAATTGGGATAAGGCTTAAATGATGATAATGTTAGTATGTGTATTCAAAATACAGGAATCTCTTAAAATAATACATCTCTTGTACGAAAAAAAATTACAACTGTATATTTATAATTGCCTACTTGGACGTGTATATATAATATAAATAGTTAACGGCCATCCTGTATTGATTACATGGCAACTATTACCTAGGTGTTTTGTTTGGGACCCACTAGCCACGTAGTAAACTTAGGTTGATCTTTTTATTTGATTTAAGAGATTCAGGTTTGATTTGTAATTAGCAACTACTTTTTACAAAATAACTAATTGGAGTGTGATTTATAGACTTTGTCAAATGAAATTGAGAAAGGGCCCTAGGACATTCCAAAGCTTTTCATGACTTATTTCAAGAGAAGCCCCGGATTGATAATTTGTATCCTTTCTTTTTTTTTTTTTTTAATTTAAACCTAAGGGCAAATTACAAATAGGTATCCTGAACTTTCAATTACAACACTTGACTACCCTGAACTTTCAAAAATAGACACATAAGTCCATCCATTAATATTCCATCAGTTAAACATTACATAATGTAAAAAATATCCTTATTGTGTATTTCTAATATCATTCTCAAGTAACTGAACGTCTCCCCATGGTGACGTTCTCACACGGACAGCAGATAACATATTCAAAATTTTCAAGTGATGATTTTACTCCATAGAATAATCTAAAAAATACACAAGAAGGGTATTTTTGACATTATACAATGTTTAACTAATGGATGGACCCAAGTGTCTATTTTTGAGAGTTCAAGATATTCAAGCATTGTAATTGAAAGTCCAGGATACCTATCTGTCACTACCCCCAAAGTACAGGGTACCTATCTATAATTTACCCTAGAACAAATTAGGCTTAGAAATTAGACACAAATAACCATGTTCTTTTCCCTTTCCCTGTCATCAAGCACATATAGAGGTATTCACCCCTAAAACTTAAATGTGAACTCAACCAGACCTGGTAATCCATCTGGTTGAACTAGCGAACCTTTCGATCCGGTCAATGAGTCAAGGGTGTATGACCCAGAGCAATGTGCTGAAAGCTGGAAGGTGGGATTGGGTATTTGATTCGTTAAACATCAAACTGGAAGAAATAATGTAATATATAAGATTTGGAGGTATTCACTCCCATTTTGGGGCTTAATAGCTATAGCACAACTTTTTATTTTCTTCCAAGTACATATTTAAAATCTTGGGCTGACAAGCATGAGAACGTGAACACTTCTTCTAGTGGCCATTGAAAAAATGCCAAAGGTTAGGTCCTTATTCAGTCCACCCCTCCCAGGTATGTATTGCCAACTTTGGCCAAGGGTATTCCCAGGTTATAGACACAACTTCTGAATTATGATTTGTGATGGCACCACGTTTGAGATATGACAAGCATAAGTGGGTAAAGTTATAGTAATGCGGTCTATAGTTGTCAAGGCGATGCTTAGGCGATAAGAATCTTATGATATAAGAAACTAACTTTGAGGTAGTTCCCTAGTTATATATACCATTTAGTATACATGTTAATTGAAAAATAATAATTTTCTTTATTAAAAATTTTAAATTTCTTCTAAAAATGTGGGAAATCATCATTACCTAAAACATAAAAATCTTTTAAATATATGATAAAAATTCAAGATAGAAAGTAAAATAGGAAAAAAAAAAAACAAATCTCTCTAAACTTCTATTATTTCCTTTCCTTCTTTCTTTCTTTTCATCTCTTCGAAACTTTTTAATGTTTTAAATTTCAATGGTAAAACATTATAACAAAGTATAAATGATATATAATATATAGTAGAATGTATTCACACATATATTAATAAGACACAATAATACAAAGGATATTACAATAAGGAGCTTACCTTGTCATTTTTGCCACCTAAGCAGCCACTTAATCACCTCAGCGGGTACCTAGTCACCTAGATGGGCACTTAATTGATTTGGGCAAGACAACCAGCCAAGGGCGCCTAGTTGCCGAGGCATCATAGGTGACGCCTTGACAACTCAGATGTGGTCCTTTTGTGGCATCCAAAAGGCGGGGCAAGAGGGCTGTCTTGATCGAAGTCCCAAATTTTTTGGATCGTAGACTTCTTTGTGTTTTTGGATCTTACTCTGGCAGAAAAACTAAAGCGAATAGAGTATGACAGTTGACCACTCAATTTGGTTGTATCAGTAGATGATAATTTCTCTCATATTTTGTATCTATTTTCTAGATGATATAATGATAGGGTGTTAAAAAATAACAATAGAATTATAATCAGCTCTGGTTTCAGCTTGAAGCCTGCAGTATATTTAACATGAAAATGGTTATTAGGTGCATAGCACGTTCATAGTTAATACAGCAACACCAGAGAAACAGCTTTTGTAGATGAAATTTAAGAAATCTTAGTTGACATGGTTTCATTGTAAAGATTTCTGAAGTACTACAAGGAAATTATGAGTGCTTTCAGACACAGTGGATGACCCAAAACAATTTCAGGAATGAAAAATTGAACTGTTAACTTCCAAAAAGTTCAGGTCCTTCTACAGATCAGAGTCCTGGGGATCTTGTGATCCATGGAAGAACCACTTGCAAAGAGGGTGATGCATATCTGAGCATAAAGCACTACTTCCTGCAACGAGAAGGAATCAATTCTGTAGTAGATCTCCCAGAAAATAAACAAGACAAATATCAATCCCTGATAAGGAGAATCATGGCCTCTACAGACCAATACTTCCAAGCTGAGAACCAAGAATTTCAACAAATCAATCTGCATCAACAAATATCTGCAACATGAAATCCGTGATCAAAAACTTTCCTAGAACAATGAACAATTGTTGTCACTTTCCCATCCAAGGAGCATATTGCAATTGGCACACCATAACAGGCAATTTATCCTCCTGTTTTTGGAAAAAAAATGGACTCCACAATAAAATTACTATAGACCACTAACCTCCAGATCTGGCAAAGGATCATATATTTTCTTCTCTTTTATGTCAAACATTGTAATTCCTGTGATTTTCTGAACCCCAAGTCTACTAGCAACCAAGTTCTGCAATAAAGGGAAAATATCATAACAAGGAGAGAAGGATAACTTATTTAAAGAATGTGATCAATGTGCATAGACAAGCATGCAAGCACCCAACAAATACACTTGCACAGTCTAAATCCTAATTTCTAATGCTGTAAGTTCTCAACAGGCTCAAGCTCTAAACATAGAAAAGCATATCTCTGTTTTTCCCTTGGTAAAAAGTAAATTACTTTCTTTTATCAGTAACTTGAGCAAAACTAAATTTCAACTCCCAACTACTGGTTTGGAATTTGAAAACTAGTTGTAGCCCCTTACCAGGTTGAAATCTAAGTCCTAATGCTCTAAGTATTCAACAGCCCCAAGCTCCAAACATAGAAAAGCACATCTCTATTTTTCCCTTCGGAAAAGTAAAACACTTTCTTTTATCAGTAACTTGAGCAAACTCTAAATTTCAACTCACAAGTACTGGTTTAGAATGTGAAAACTATTTGTAGCTCACCAAATTGAAATCTGTTGATTCAAATGCCTCCACATGTGGTAGCACCTGCACAAGGGTGTTAATGCAATAAGCTTAATGTCAAAACAAGATTGTAGTGTTTACATGTTTTAAAAGGCAGAAGAAATGACTGCATTATATATAAATGCAGTTTGAGGTTGTAGGCTTGTAGCTAATACCTTATCTTGTCATGTACTACATCTAATGAATTGTGTAAATCTAAGAAAAAAATTAAAATGAAATTACAAGCAGTAATTGTGACCATTCAACTGTTGAAATAGGTGTTGCATTTGATTTGATAACATATAGGCCATAACTTGGTGATTAAATTCCTTACCATTTTGTGAAGACCATTAACAGTAATAGCTTTCTGCTCATGGAAATTGCCTTTAGACATCCAAACTTCAAAAGGTCCCATTTTCCTATCTGTCTGGTTTGTGAGATTCAAACGTATCTGCAAAAGATGAATTAACTCAACTTTAAAGTCATTGCAATTATTTTAGAAAAGTGACTATAGGATCTAGTAATTCATGATTAATAAGCAAAATAAGCAAATATTTTTTCTATACAATTTTGTGTTAATGATGGGACAACAAAAAACAGAACAAATTCATGACATGTTAAACCACATTTGTGCCCCTCAGGCCTCATATAGTCTCCTAGTAGCATTGGAATGGAATTTCTTACCCAGTCTATTCAACCCACTCATTAAGTAAGCTTCTGGTTTGGGTTTTCACTTAGCATGTTTCATTATGGGTTGAATCACCCATCAGGTGGCGTTAAATTTTTTTGGGTGGGTGCTGATTGGGTGTGAGTTTAGAGTGGGTTTCACCTCAATCCACATCTAATCCACCCAAACCTGCCCAACTGCCACCCTATAGAAAAGTGAGAAAACCTACAGATGAAACTTCAAAATTAACAAAATCGTGTATCTTTATTTGTAACTAGACCTAAGTATGCAGGTAAATTTGCACAAATGAGCATAGATTCGTGGATGTCCATTTAACTGGGAGTAAACAGACATTATTTTATCAGTGATTTGAAAGGCTAGGCACACAGGTGAGGTGCATTTTAAGGTATATGCCTTGCCTAGCCCCCAAGCGCAGAACTTTTGTTAGGGACTGCCTAACTCAGGGACTCTTTTGAGGGAGCCTACCTCCTGAATGAGAGTGAGAGAGAGAGAGAGAGAGATTGTATTCCCAAATTGATAATCCCCTCCTAGCTTCTTTTCCTTATTTATATACTGCTGTTACAATTCTGTTATACCCGCCTCTCCACTTGTCCAATTTGTTAGTTAGTTTGTTCTAGTGGTTGGCTGTTAGTTACATTCTTTAAAGGCTGGCGTGGCCTTTTCTTGTACACTTGTATTCCCTTTATTTGTGTCTCAACAGTCCCTCCT